GGAATGAGGACTAAACACCATCTTCAGGCAAGAAAGTGTAAAACAAAATACACTTTCCTATACAACAAGCACAGCTGCAACATACCACTTGGTTCCAGGAAGTTGCTATGAAAAAATAAAATTATGAGTGTTTTGACTAGAGAGCACTGAGTGTGAAAACTGAAATAGTTTTTTCCATGAATTTTGGTTTTAGGACAGTAAGGAGAAATACTAGCATTATGAATCCAGAAAAAAGGCACACTTACCAGACAAAATGTAATATGAAATTACTGGTTTTACTTAGTCTTGGATACGTTTGGATGACAAGTGAAAGAACTAATACCCAGTACAAGGTTTTTTCTATTAACTAGAAATGAACATTAGCAAGAAAGCAAAGGCAACTTAAGCCTTTCTTGTTTTCTCCTTTCTGAAACTTCTGCAGATTTTATAGTACTTTTAAAATGTTCCCTACGATTTCAGTCCCTTAAAGACAGTGAGACTATTTTGAAATAGACAGCAACTACTTACAACTGAAATAATTATTTTTTTTTCAAAGCAAGTAACTGTAACTTGATCATATTTTCAAAAGCTAACTGATATGCTGTTAGCAAAGTGAGGGGGAGTCAAGGCGCTTTGCTTTTTTTTTTTTTTTTTTTTTTTTTTTTTTAATGATTACCTAAAAGAATTTTTTTTAGGTAATTTAGGTCCTACCTTGGTTAAGGAAAGACCAAGACCAAAGAAACCAACCTGACTATTCCTGTTTAGGATAAGAAAAGCACTTCATAAAGGAGAAAACACTCCCAGAGCTTAATCCTAATTCACTTTTCAGTCAACGTAACTGGGTACTAGGCTTGGAGTAAAGAGATTATGGTACTGGTATAGAGGAGACAATGTGTTTTTCATATGTAACACAGATAAATTCTGCAGAGCCCAGGTCATCTCAGATTTAAGTATGCAGTTGCTTTCATTCTCCCATAATGTAACTTATCTTTGTTTTCTTCAACCTCAGGTGATAATGTAATGAACGTACTTTAATGTCTCGATGCATCACTCCCATGCTGTGGATATAGCATACTCCTTCTAGTAACTCCTGAAAAATTTTCATTGTCCAGCCGACATCCACAAGATGGTATGGACCTTAAAACAATTTTAAATCTAAATTATTTCAGCTAATTTTACTGAGTTATTTAAGTTTATGATGGTATGTCTTTTGGAATTCCGTTTATTTATGTTGGAAGAAATAATTACGTATAGAAGAAATTTTTAACAAAATGAGCATAGTTTAAAAATTGAATTTCCCATGCTTCCCTCTGGATAGTAGTTTTAAAACAGCAGAAGTCACTAACATCAAATTTCCAAAAAGGAAAGTGCAGGGGAGGTGAATATATGTCTGCCTGAAAATGTTGCTCCAAACCCCATTAGATAGTTATTTATGACTTTTCAAACTCTTTACTTACATGTAAATGCTAAATTAGAATGATAAATACTGTTCCAGATAAAAATCACAGTAATTCACTTATGTTTTCTGTGTTGATATGTGCCCTTGCTTTTTGATCCTAATCCTCCTGCTGTTGTGCTACCCTCTGAAATGCCCAGAACTCCTCTGGCTGTAGATGTCTTAAATAAAATGACCACCTCACTTTTTCTACCACTTCCCACATCCTTATTTTATTAAACTGCATTGTCTTCCTACTCTAATGGCCCAGATATCACATGTCTGTTGCCACTCTGAACACTCACTATTTACTCCTACTTGAGTTTGTTTCTTAATGTCTAACCTATGACAGAATTCACCCCTCCTCTCCTGTCACCTGTGAAAATGTGTGAAATCAGCATTTTGCCAGGTCAAATGCCCTAGTAATTCTGTTAGACCCTGACTAGGAACATCATCTTTTAGCTTATGAAAGCTAAAAGACTGATTACAAGATAGATCGGTGGAAGTCAGCTGGTAAACCAGACTCCATGATTGACGAGAGCAGATTTATCTTAATAGTTATTAAAACTAAGATTACTCATACAGTTTATGTCTTACAAGCTATTAAGCATATGCACTTTTTATACAAACACCCCAGAGAAAGGCACATGTCTAATGCTCTAAGAGCATTAGACTTGTTCTTCCAAATCAACAATTACTGAAGCCAGCTTGGTGTCAGGGCATGAGAACTCCTCTGGCCACTCACACAAAGTAAATGTTAGAATCTCTTGAGCAATGTCAAATGAGCCTGCGTCAGAGTTTTGATCCTTAAGAACAATCTTACAAGTTAAAAACTTAAAAATTAATTTGTGCTTAAGAGCAAACTTAAAAGAAGATGAAATAAGATGGAGACTCCCTTTTTACAAGGAGTCACACAGGAAAAAACAAGGGGTACAAGTTACTCCTGGGGAGATCCCCATTAGGCTGAAATTTTTTCACAAGGACAGTCAGCCAGTGGAATAATCTCCCTGGGAAAGTGGGGAATCCCCAGCATGGGACACTTTTCAGGTCCAGCTGGACAGGGTGCTGGGCCAAGACTGCTTTTCCCAAGAAAGGTTAGCTCAGATGATCCTTGAGGTCCCTTCCAACCTGGTATTCTATGACTTTATGTTGTAACTTGTCTAGAACTAAAGATGTATTTGTTTTCCACAGCAGATAAATTAGCCTGTGAAGAGCTCTACTTTGTAGCAGCAAGGCAACCACCAAAGCAAAATTTCAATTATTTAGATAGCTTACTGAGAAAATGCAGATTCTGTCAATTAAAAAAACCCCTGTATTCCAAATAAGTAGTATTGCCCAAGCACAGACCTCTACAGGTAACAAATATACCTCAGGCATACATTCATTCTTTTGTGAAGAGCTGTCTAAAAGTCATTAATTTAAATCTCTTTTACCAGCATCTACCATACAGAGATCCAACACCAGCTGCTATTTGATTAAGTGAATAAAGAATCTAATTAAGAAGATCCATATTATAAGCTGCTGAAGTAAAACAAAATCAGGCACATGGACATCTCGTTAGGAAAAAGGAAATATGTGCTTTATAATGAGTAACTACATTTTTAAGGCAGTAATGAATCTTACTGGAAGTTTCCTCTGTTCTCTCGCTGCATCTTTTATTACGGTCAACAATCCAATCCCACAAGGATATTTCACACAGTTGCATTTGTATATGAAGCATCAGATGATACTCCACCTAACAGAAAGATAATGGTTCATGATCTTACTGCTGTCATATGAAGAGTATTTCCTCAGTTATTTTCTTTAAAGCTAGTAAAACCAAAATTTCTTTATTAAAGTAAAAAGAACAAGCAATACCAAAATGAAATCAAATACAGCATTACTAATATACTGCATTCAAGAAGCAGATGCAATAACACTATCTAGCTTGGGGTGTTGTTTTTTTGTTGGTTTTTTTTTTTTTTTTTTTTCTTTTTGTTTCTCAAATTTTCATAATTTTTATATAATAAATGCTAACAAAACAGCCACCTACATACCTTAATATTCAAATTAGAGTTTAAAAGCTTCTAAGAATATTGAACAGTGGTTCAATCTGGCTTAAAAAAATGGTGTAAAATAACAGAAAACAGCAAAAAATATCAACTTTTTGATATGGAACTTTATGATTTATTAACATGAATATGTAACTTAGTTCTCAGTTTCTGATAAGGTACTGTGTGATGATAACCTGGACAAGTCAAGAAAACACCTTTAAAATCTTGGATTTCTTGCAAGAAAGAACTCCAAATGACAGCAAAATCTTGAAGTATTCCAGAGGTGGCTGTACTACACTGAACATCTCAGTGCTCTGAACACAGTTTTAGAAACATAGGCAGAGTGGCAATACCCTGCCCAAATCTGCTTCTTGGCACCACTTTAGATAGCTAGACACTTTCATCAATAATATGTGAATTAGCCATCACTACTGAATGCTTAGAGGTTGTCATGTTTGATGGTTTGGGTCTTTATGCAAGAGTAGTACTTTTATTTATGAAAATACTTCAAAAGGATGCCAGATTATTAACACAAGGAAATTTTCTTGTATGCTGAGTTTTGCCAGCTCCTCTGGTCAACTTCCCCTGTAATGGCGTTACCCACTTAAGTAAAAATTGCCTGTATTTTTTGCTCTAATTGCAGTCATTACATTTTTTTGTACGATTTATCATTATAAATCATTCCTCTGTCTACCTAACTCCACTTTGCAAACACCATTAGACAGCAAATAAGTATATTTAAAGAGTACTGTACTTACCTCAAACCCTCCACAGAGAGCTACATCATTCTTGGAGCATTCTTCAGTGCAGGACTTACTTCCAAGGCTAACATGTTGATCCAGACTAGAATGGCTTTTCACATCAATTGATCTGCTACTGCTAATACTACTTACAGAGTCTCCTTCACATATCATTGGTTTCATACCCCCTTTACTATTGCTGTTTGTAAAATCATTCCTTACATCCATATTCTGCACTGATTCACTATCCAGATTTCTACAACTGGTACTGTCACAGGACTTCTTTTCTTGTGAAGTAAGGTCAGCAAAGATAATGGAACTACCACTTTCCACTCTCTGAATTTGACAGTGGTCACTGAAAGCAATAAAGGGAGAGAAATCAAAATACGTACACAGTTTATACCACCTATTTGTGATACACCATTCTGAAAACTTTTCCCTCCCCCCCCAACTGCAAACTACATTTCAGAGTGACATTTCAGCTGCTGAATCCCCTGCAGGGATTTCTGACTGCTGACCCAGAGAGCTCACAGGTACATACACTCCTAGGTCACAGCATTCACTGGACAGAAGTATGATCCATCTCCGTTCCTCTACACAAAGGAAGTTACTGTATGTCTCACAGGACTGCAGCTCCTTAACGGGAGGTCTAATCAACACTTCAGAGACACAGAAAGCCTCATCACTAACAAGGCTCCACCATACTCCTTCTTCATTGCTGATTGGCACAGAACTTTTGAAGTAAACTTGAAGCCCAGTACTACATTATGGCACTCAGAAACTGAAAAATCCAAAGAAGGCAAAAAATTTTCAGCAGTATTTTTCAGCTTACATGAGAGAAAAAATAAGGATAATTAAGACTTTTTTTTTTTTTGTTATAATTTGGAAACAAAAAGCATTTGTGTGTATATGCTGAATTGTGTACTCTTCTAACCTTACTTTAAAAATGCCTCCTGTTAAAGCCACATAAACATTATCGTTGAGATTTACAACACTTACTTGCTAGTCTCTTGCTCCAAAGATAATGGCTGCAACTCCATTATTGTTCTACCTATTGGGTGAAAAGATAAATATGGTATTTTACAATACAAAGCATGCATTTATTTACTATACATTAACGTTTAAGCTACAGCATCCTACTGATTTTAACTTCATTATCTGTAGGTATCTTTTTTCTCTTTGCTGCTGCAATAGGGGCTTGTTAAGTCTACTAAAAAGCAACTCAAATAAGTTTTTTTTTTTATTATTATTTTTTCTTTAAATGAAAAGAAAATACATTTTGTATGAAAGGTTTGTATTGGGATCTGAGCTATTCACCTAGATTTCACCTTTAAGAAGTCAGCCTGTTCAAAACTAGGACTTATGTTTATAATACATGGCTAATGGCCAAGCCAACAGAGTTGTGGTGAATGGAGTTAAATCCACTTGGCATCCAGTCACCAGCAGTGTCCCTCAGGGCTTGGTTTGGGACCAGTCTTGTTTAATTTCTTTATCAATGACCTGGACAGGGGGATCAAATGCACCCTCAGTAAATTTGCAGATGACATGAAATTATGTGGGAGCATGGATCTACTCGAGGGTAGGAAGGCTCTGCAGAGGGATTTGGATAGGCTGGAGCAATGGGCCAAGGTCAGTTATAGGAGGTTTAACAAGGCCAAGTGACAGGTCCTGCACTTGGGTCACAACAAACCCAAACACTCCAGCCTGGGGAGGAGTGGGTGGAAAGCTGCCTGGTGGAAAAGGACCTGGGAGTGCTGGTGGACAGCTGACTGAACATGAGCCAGCAGTGTGCTCAGGTGGCCAACAAGGCCAATGGCATCCTGGCCTGTATCAAAAATGGTGTGACCAGCAGGAGCAGGGAGGTGATCGTGCCCCTGGACTCAGCACTGGTGAGACCACACCTTGAGCACTGTGCCCAGTTTTGGGCCCACAGGACAAGAAGGACACTGAGGTGCTGGAACGGGTCCAGGGAAGGGCAACGAGGCTGGTGAGAGGGCTGGAGAACATGCCTTGTGAGGACCAGCTGAGGGAACTGGGGTTGTTTAGCCTGGGGAAGAGGAGACTGAGAGGTGACCTTATTGCTCTCTACAACTACCTAAAAGGAGGTTGTAGTGAGGCTGGTGTTGGTCTCTTCTCCTAAATTACTGATGATAGGACAAGAGGAAATGGCCTCAAGCTGCACCAGGGAAGATTTTGATTAGATATTAGGAAGAATTTCTTCACTGAGAGAGTGGTTAGACACTGGAATGGGCTGCCCAGGGAGGTGGTAGAGTCATCATCCCTAAAGGTGTTCAAAAACAAGTGGATGTGGCACTTGAGGCTACAGTCTAGTGCTTAGGGAAATGCTGGGAGGAAGGCTGGACTTGGATCCTGGAGGTCCTTTCCAACCATGGTGATTCTGTGATTCTAAGGTACCATCTTTTGCATCATCCTGCTGCTGTTTTGAGGACCCGTGATATTTTGGAAATAAATTTTCATTACAATTGTATATTTATGTGAAAAAAAAAAGTTTTAGCACACAGAAGCAAATACAAAAGACCAATCTTGTAAGCCAAGGAAAACCATTAAGTACCACAGGACACACCTATAGATCTTGTTATGTACTTGCATTATCACCATTAAACACTTGTGAAATACTCCTAGCACTATAAAGTTGCATCCAGATTCTGTCTTCATCCTTTAAAAGGTCTTGTCTGTCTTACTACACTGCCAACTTCCAGTGCATTTCTTTTGGGCTTATAGCTGACTGGGCGTCAAGTTATATGACTTTACTGCTTTCCAAGTCAGTCAAGCATAAGCAACCTCCCACTAAAAGAGCATCAAACGATTTAACTGCTAAATTAAAAAGCAATGGAAAAAGAAAAGAAAAAGGAACCAACAGATTAGGGTTACAAAGGGACCAAAGAACAAAGTGTGGGAAGAGCTGAGACAGAGAAACTCTATAAATAACTATTTTTTTTTTTATCACAGAAGTAACACTCTCCTGTAAATAACAGCACAGAGGTCATATGCAGGATGCAAGCAAGAATTACACAACACACTGTACTTTCCTTTTGGGCATACTGTTTGAACTTGTTCCATCCAAGCAGTGTGATAGCCTACAATATTAGGATGCTGCAGCCCAGCCAGCACTTTGACTTCTCGTAGCACCTAAAAAGATCAAAAAGCAATGGTATGATTGTCCTTTATTCTGAGTGCTTAGTAAACCCAAAAGATAACAAAAAAGAACAGTTTCTGACAGAGCAAGAACAGGCAAAATTATTACAGGAATGGAGAAAATCTGCAAGCTTTAAAACAAATTACGATTTTCATAGTTGCAGAGATGATCAAGTTAATAATATGCTTCTTTTAATGGACTTAAATACCTCTTCGGGTTTTTTTCCCCACTAGGTATTGACAGAGTCAAATCTTTAGAAACTCAGAATGTATAAAAAAAAGTTATTAAAGTTTTTGATGTTTTGGAAAATATTAACTGCACTGCTAGATTAAATGATAATTAGCGAGAGCAGACAGGGAGTTAAAACAGATAAAAGACAGGAAAAAGAATACCTTCATGCAATCTCTTCTTCTAGCCCTCTTCATGCTAATTTTTTTAATAGCATAGAACTGGCCATCTAACTTGTTTCTGACCTGAAAGTAATTGAAATAGGATAAAATTAGATGTTAATGTGTTTAGATTAATGAATTATTAAGTCCTTTAGAACGAATCATTTTCTAAAAACTTATTTCTGCACACTCCACTCACACAACTTCATACCCTCCAAGTATTTAATACAATTCAGCATTGGGTTGGGCAGTTTACACTCATTTTAAGGCTACTTTTTTTCAAGCAGCCACAAATGGAACACTGGAGTCTGCAGACTAATCAGTTCCAGGGGCTGTTTTAAGTCACTATATCACAATACTTTACAGACAAATAAGGAGTTCTCATTCACTTCAAAAAGGTCAAAATACACAAAGTAAAACATCTGATATAGCCTGCTTCTGACCAACAGAAAGCAAACTGAGCATTTTTTTAAATTAAATGGCAACATCCTTCAAGCATGCACATTCTCTCTTCTTCTATTGGAAAACTAGGATTTTGGGGGTTCTATTAGAAAAATAAACAAAACAGCCAAAACAGTAATCCTAAATTTCAAAAAGAAAGTAGACATAAATGGATCAGTTATAAATGGAATGTAAAGAATACCTTGTATACTTTACCATATCCCCCTCTTCCTAGCCTTGCAATTTCATCAAATTCATTCAAGTACCGTGAAGTCTGTGCTTCAAGGAGAACTTCTTTTTCCCTAATAAAAAAAAAAAAAAAGTTAGGCTGCATTAAACTAAATCAAAATCTATAAAGTATTACATACGCTACAGGTACACACAACATAGAAATAGCATTTATGTTACAAAAAGAAGAAAACAGTTTGCCATTACCATACTGTACCATTCAGTGTTTCAGTGGATACTGAAAACCAGCAGACAGCAACAGCATGCACGTGTTACAAATCCACTCTGTTTTAACAGAGGTATTAAGATGATTTCTGTAAGTTTATGCCTGATAAATCTTGGTTTCATGAATGGTGCCACTAACTGTGAGAGCTGTACTGAAGAAGGAATTTTGACCAGATCGTTTTGAGAGTTAGGAGAAGCTTTCACATATTTTCTATGTTTCAGAGCCAAAATATGAAATGCGGTATTAATTAAATTCAGAGCAGAGCACAGAAGTTTAGGGAGGGTGTCAAGTTCAATAATCCTAAATACTCCAAATACATACCCAATTGCATGACAATCTCCATTACCAAGTTCCTGTGAAATGACAAAATCCGACATAAAGACGTGTCACACAGAATAATAGGTCTACCACACCATCAGCATGGACAGCTTAATCAAAACAGAACCCAAAACTATGTTCTCAGAAGAAAACAAGGTTCCTGATAGCCATTCACATTCTGCAGAGAGCTTCACCAAATTAAAGTATTATTATCCTGCTAGTAATCTGCTAACATCTCTGTGCTGGTGAGATTACTGCCCTTTTAGAGTTCTGCTGGCAAATAGGATAAAATGAGGGCTCTAAAATGTACTTAAGACAAAATTAACTAGCTTAGTTCAAGCAGTGAGATAAGCTAACTGGACTGATTCAGCCAGAAGCACATTATGCAGCATTCAAATTATTCCCTCTACTAATACAAATATGACGGTGTTAACGTAATCAACTGGAACAGTTAAAAGTTGAAAACAGATGTCTGTCCATTGTCAAATAAAGCTGTAGCAATACTGGAAACACCTTGCCCATTCTCAGAAAGACTATTTAAAAATTATTTAATAAGGAACAAAATATCACTGGCTTCAAAAGCTTTGGTTTGCACCTATAGTTCCAGGACAAGCCATCCCAAACAACTAAGGTAGAATGGGAATACCATTTTGTATCAATCATTATTGAAAAGACCCAACCCAATATTAAAAGAACCCACAAAGAAAAACTGCTTTGGATGCAGTGATGTGTTAATTCCTTAATGCAGAAGTTGCCAGAGAAACTTAACAAAGCTTACCCCATTAAGTATTTGTAGATTAGCTGCTTTCATTAGTTCAGTAATGGCTCTATTATGCTGCAGTCTTACAGTACTAAATTCATCACAGAAGGCAAAAGGGGAGAGCAACCCTGTTCTTGTGAAAGCCTGACGAAGTACTGCGCAAAGGAACAGAGTAAGGTCACGTTACATGAAGCCTGCCAACAAAACCATGCCACAGTTACTTTTTAAACATGAAACTTTATTTGAAAGATAGCACACCTGAAAAACTGAACAGCACTCCTACTCTAATGCTATTTCCTTTACTCTTAGCAATAACAACCTATTAAATCCAAGCTAGAGTTGCTCTGTGGCAATTCCTCTACATAAGGCAGTTATTTCCTGTGCCCTTCATGGTCATAACTGTATCTCCTTATCTCAGCAGACATATGACACAAACATCCACCCACTCACCCATTACCCTTGCACTAATTTTGGCCAGTGAAAAGAGAAATTCAAAGAATGTTCACAATTATGAGGACACATTTATAGCAAAACCTCCTAATGTCCAGACTTTCTAATCCACATACGAACTCACGCATTTGTGCACAGACTCATAGCAAAGAACAAAGTCAACCCCCTTCATCCCCCACAAGCAGCACATCTTTCCCAGCTGGAGCAGAAAGATACCGTGGCACACAGAAACCTAAAAAATACCTGAGATGGGTGTAACTGCAAAGATGTTACAAAAATGTACTTAAAAGTTTTAGGAGCTCCATGGTCTTAAACCTGCTCCTAAGATTTTTTTAAGATACTCCTTTGGTACCAGTATTTCAAAGATCAGCCTGTTTATCTTTTATAGGAGATAACATTTATTGAAAACAAACATATAAGAAATCAGGAATTTTGCTACACAAGCCTTATGGACACAGTTATACACATCAGAAAAGTGGTAAAACCCCACACTTGCTAACACGAACACACCAGGCAAAACCACAAAACAGCTACAATTACTGCAATATGTATTTCCTTTTATTCACCATCTTTATTCCACTTGGGCAACTGCTTTAAACTACACCAATGGAGGAATGCCATCCTTCATAGAATTACATTGGCAGCTACATACTTTGGAAGATGCCAAGGTTGAGTTTTTTGTTCCTCTCCCAAAAGGAGGAAATTCACCTCCCCTCTCAATATTTTTGGTTGCAACAGAGATAATAGCAAGGCCCAGGCCCAAATACCTGCATGAGATTTCAATAAAGAAACAATGACAGTTGTCTGCACTGTTGTTACTGGGTGCTATGAATGGCTTCAACTTTAAGTACAAGCAATATATGAGATTTTTGTTTCCTATAATTATTTTTAGTAAGGAGAAAAACTTTGGGAGATTTTTTTCTCAAATGCATTAAGTATGTGCTTAAATGAACAAAATACTTAAAATAAGTTGCACATCAAAAAGACAGATTTCAAAAGAAGCACAACACACCCAAAAATTAGAGCTCTCTGAAGTACACGAAAAAATTTACAGGAAAATATATGACTTACAAAAGTATTTAACTTTCACAGACCATAGTTTTGAAAGATGCAGTGAAGACTATGCTACAGCTATTTAATAAATAAAAATATTTATCAAGAAATTCCTCTTATGTGCTTTTAAATCAAACTTAAGAGCTAGATAATTTACCCTGCTACCCTTCTCATGATGCAACTCAAGTGATTTTGCTGGTACAGAACTGTCTGATCCTCACATCTACAACACTGCAACAACATACCGTTACGGTTTCCAAAACAAGACAGGTCCTCATTCACAATTAAACCAATTATATTCACCTTCTTCTCAGAATTACTCCTGCCCTGATGCAGTAAGGCCTACAGCTTTGTATGGATATTACACTGTAATTCTGCACAGAACAATAAGGTACATATCGCAGCCAGGCGGTGTAAAGGATGAGAAAGAAGTGCTCTTACTAACTTCGGAACAAACACCTCGAGTGAACAGGGTTGTGTGTGTACATGTGGCAGAGATGCTCCAGCAGTGACACAAGCAGCAGCTGGTTTTGGATGGTCGAAGTGAAGTTCACAAACTTTTGCGACCCGTTTGCCACCCGCAGCTCTGCCGGCACATCCGAGTCTGGAAAAGGCCAGTCGGAGGAATGAATTCAGGTCTCAGCACATGCCTACTTACCAAACCAACACGCCAACCCACACACAGCTTCGACACGACCCTGGCTCGCAAAAACGCACCACGCAAGCTGCCACCGAGCGAGGTGCTCAAGACACTAACCAGGAACCTAATTAAATTGAGTAAGCGCCTCTGGAAAGAACCTAAGCAGAGGGGACGCGGCTCTCCCCGAGGGAGGGGGGGCTCCCACCGCAACCGCAGGGCCGGGCCGGGCG